ATTTTTACCGTGCTTTATGGCTGGGCGTACGGCACAGTTTCACACCTTTAATATCCCTTTGCCTAGACGCATGCATTTAAAAAAGCTGCCATAGGCTAGGTCGGTGGTGCGTCACAGCATTGACACTAGAACCGTCTCATTCATACGGTGGTCTTGCGCAAACCATCTAGCCGCCACAAATGCGACACTGCATAGATTCACATTCAGCTTCTAAGCATCCGCTCTCAAATTCAAAGTGACATTTTCCTCCCTAGTCAGCACTCGCATTTCAGCAAAGCCTCTGTCGTCAAATTCAAACTGACATTTTCTACTCCATTCGCCTTTGAGCAGTTGGGTCAGCGGCGTCCTTCGGGCCCCCCGCCATTCAACATATTCATGCCTTCCAGACAGCAGTCTACTCGCTATGATAATGCTCAGCGATAAAGGAGCATATTATTTCAGATGGCTGTTAATCGCCCAAGGCCAGTTGGTGCAAGAATGGCGAAATGCAATGAGGTGCCGTCTCTCTGCGGCCTCATAAATGTCAGCTGGGTGAACTATTGAGTGGCCGCAGACTACTGCAGATGGCATTAAATGCATGTTTTGCCTATGTGATAAGATGTAAATGAACAGGTCCAACGGTGGTGATAAATAACAAAATAAAAGCGTAAAAGAAAACGAAATTGCGGGAAAGCAGCTTAGTATAAAAATATGTAAATCATGTTAAACGATGTTTTAATATTTAGCGATCACATTTGTAATTTTTGTGGCCTGGATGACTACCGGCCACCAATTTCATCAATAATCATGTCCGATCGTTACCAGTACTGGTGACATGGCCCAATATATCGTTAGCTCTGTCCGTACACGGACTGAATATCTCGTCTTGGCCATTAGCGACGTTAGACGAGGGACGTTTTAGATGCAGCACGACCTTCTTGGCCGTCAATACAGCTGCACAATCACTGGACGAATTACGGTGTAATTGCACGTGAAATGTCTCTGGAACCGTTCATCCTTGCAATGTCTTTTGCTCAGCGCCTTTTCAGCCTCGACGATTCTGTTCAAATTTTAGCGCACATTCGATAGCGTGGATTTTAGTAGTCCAGCATGCCACATAAAACAGCCACAATTTCTTATGACGGGATTTTGAAGACGAAGCATGAACTAGTGAATACCTATCATAGCAGTTGTGATATTGGTGTACTATGTGCCATCTTAGTTCACGCTAATTCTTAACTTATTTGATTAGAAGTACATGGAAAACTAGATCGCAGCCCCAGTGTCATGTCATGCCGGGCACGAGGGCCCCGTGTTCATTAGCAATGAACGCTATCATGTCAGCACGCCAGCTCTAGTGAGCAGCTGTTGCCTACTTTAGAACAACGTATGGCGCTGCTGTCGAAAATGCTGTCGCTTCTGGCGAAACATGAAAAGCAGATTCAACTCATTGGGTAGGTGAGAACATATGAACATAGTTATTCCGGATGCAGGTGCACATAAATCAGAATAACAAGCACACTTTTTCCTTTCTTTCATTTTATCATTAAGCCTGCCATCTTTCACCTCATATTGACCGAGTGACTTTGGAACACAGTAGAACACATCCGTCCTGTGGCGGCTGACCGATGCGGCCGAGCTCTGTCATTTTTGTGCTGCGGTTGCTGGCTTGGACCGCCGCAGCGGGCCGAGAACAGCCACGCGCGGCCCCACGATTGGTGGATATAGGACGGGCGCTCATAACCGTAATGTCCGAGGGATATTGGCACTTCTCTACAGCAGTCTCGGGCCTGAGCCTGAAATATTCGCCGGCTCTGTTAGCTAAAATATTGAAATCATTTTGCGCCACCCAGAATGGCTTTTGTAATGGAATGTTTGAGCTTTGTGTCATGGAAGCATTACAGGTGAAAGGAAGGTGATCAAGTCCGGCGAGTTATTACTGTCGTCAACTCATTTATAAAGATCTAGCATGACCGCCAGTTTCTGGACTCCATGGTGGTGTTCCGTTGTGGAAAAGGCCTGCAGATATACCGTGATGTCAGACGTTGACAGCTGTCGGATATCATGACTTTTAGTATGCCTTATGAGCGTAAAACAGGCGTGACGTCAGTCCCAAATGGGTGCATCAGACATTGGACATAAGTCTTGATGATGTTGGGGGCATATTTCAACAATCGATGTTGAAAGTTTCTGAATGGACATTATTCTCCCGGCGATGCACCATAACTTCTTCTTTCATTGGACATAAAAGAGGCGAATGCGCCATCCGCCGTAACTGCTGCCACCGGGTCAAATCATATTTATCGGCCATGGAACGCCTTTAGCGCAGGCAGCTGACATTAAGTTTATTTTAATTTGTGATTAATGGCTTCGATAGGATTGGTTATGCCTTGATGGATTGGGAAATGATTATTGAAACTGGATGTATCAGTAAAGTACTGACTACTTAATTAAGAGGGAAATCCACACCATGTCAGTTGCACACCATGCATGATGATTAAAAACAAATGTATTGAGGCCAATATTTTTTCAATTTTCCAATTTTCTCCAAAAAACAAAATAAACGCTATGCAACCAAGGGTACCTACAAATATCGAGCTCGAAATGTAGTTGTCAACAAAAAAGAGAAACGACGATGGATGACGCACAAAAAAATATGTAATATATTGAGCTCTTCCTATTATGACGAAAGAGTCATACAAAAGAGAGGTAACTGTACCTGTGTCATGAAATTTGCTTAGCAAAAAGCAGAAGTCTCACAGAAACCAGCGAACTAACTACTGCATTGGGATTACGCAAATGCGTTATGCATTTCCAGCTAGTAGATTCAGGAGATACATAGTGCTGGCAAGAGACGTCAGCTACTTTCCTTGACGTCCCTGTCACGCTCTCTGTCCCGGTGACAGGGAAGGGGGCATTATTCCGACGACCCCGGTCCGACCACCCCGATCAGAGCCAAAACCCCACCGGCCATCTATCATAATCAGAGTAATTTATGCAGCGCGGTGCCACGGGATAGAGCCATCACATGTGCATTAGAAGCACGTCCCTGTCGCCGAGGTCGCTGAGTGCCGGTCGACGTCTTCTAAGCGCGCTCCACGCCGCGAAACGGCAACCTCTGAACCAAAAACTTCAATATTTGAGGAGGAGACCATCTGAGTTATATCATAAGTGACACCAGACATATGCGGTATTTCAGGAAAAGTTGACTTGAGGTTAGAATTGTTGCAGGGATTGGGGGCAATTGCTATCAAAAGTGAAAATGTTGTTTGAACGCATCATTTTTTTTTTGCAAAAAAAAAGAAAAATGACAGAGAGTAAAAGAGTTAAATTTCCAGTAAGGTGTAGCTCTATGGCTTTTGCTCTTAATTATTGTCATGCGATATATAATGATTTGTTTTACTTTGCACGATGTAGTTGGTTTGTCTTTTTTTGCCATCTATCGACGTCCTTCTATTTCTTGACGCGATACGATCAGACGAATATAAACTATCGGATATTCATGCATAACATTTCTAAAACAATAAAGTCGTTTTATAAAAATACTTTTCGAGTAAAAAGAAATTTTAAAAAGTTGAATAACTGAATAGGCAGTATACAGAGGTCTATGGAGAATTACTGATTAAACAGTTTTAAGATTCCCAGCTCTCGCACAAAGAAAAGCTGTTTAGCGACCACGGTCAGTAACATTATCACCGATTCCAAGGAACTTCTTTGACTCCGTATCTCGTGAACTCGGCTGCTTTCGCTGGGGAACAATTGTGAACTTCATATCATTTCATTTACCGCCACCATTGTTTGTCCACGATGAAGATGTAGCTCGTTCAATTAATCATGCCGGCACTCGCCAGCTCCCCAGGAGTCGGCACTATGTAGACGGGTCGAATAAACAGGTGCCGGGGAATAAATTCTCGGCCGGCGGGAGAGGCCGTCGACACCGGTCGTACATCACCCGCAGTCTGGCCCGCTCGCTAATATCCGGACCGTAAATCATCGAAATATTAATGTGGAACAGGTGTGAGAGGCAAGACTTGCGGGCGGTTTCAGATTTCAACATTTTATGTTTTACGTAAGATCGGAGTAGACCGGTACTGAAGTTGCTGCAAACCATCGCACTTGTTTTAATATAAAGTGCTATCAGTCTCGGATCACTGTTCCGAGCCATTATAGGTTGTTTGTTCACTCCGTGTTTTACGGGCTCACTGTAGATGCATTCGACGCCGGTGGAAGAAACGCAGGCAATTAAAACTTGCCAAAAGTTATTATCGCTCGAGCCCAAGTTAGCCAGATTGAATGACGAATAGCATACAGCACGGTCATTTACTGCTAACTGAGATCGAGGCGTCGCAAAGTTCCGTAGAAATAACTGGGACCGATGATTTTTTTTAAAGGCGAAACGAGATCTTCTCAAAAATCAATCATCCATTTTATTTTAACAACTAAGTTAACTTCATTAGTTACACTCTCGGTTATTGGATTACATGCTGCTGTTTTAAACCAGCGTTCCATTAGGATATAGGTGCGTTACATTTTTTTTTTTTACTTAAAACACTACCGAATAGAGAAAGAAGAAACTTCTAGGCGCAAAATAGTTTTGTGTTGATGGCCAGGGGCATAATGTTCTTCTACTGATCTATGCTGTCTTCGGAGTCGCAAAGGTGATCGGGACCTGCAACTGGTAGGATTTGGTTCGTCATATATTTTCATAAGGTCAAAGAAGTTACCTAAAGGTGAAAAGTTTCAAAAAAACAATATCCTCAAGCCTTTCCTAAGGCTCCTTTCACGTATAATATTCTTCAACACTGACGCACACGACTTTTGCAGGTCTTTATGGGAAGAAGAAAAAAGGTGAGCACCATTTTTGTTACACCTGAACTTTTTCCTCGTGCCGTTGCTAGCATTTCTTGCCCCGGTGTATCCGATATAGCTATCTTTATAAGTTTGTGCCGCCCCTGATCTAATGTGTGTGACTTTGGCGTTCGGCGAGGTTATATGTAGGTGTCTGTAAAGTTTCTGACGCCATGTACGGCCGTGAGTAAATGGGTATGTCTGTACAGTTTCTCACGCCGTGTCGAAATAAATGTCTAATGTCTATAATGTCTATAATGTCTAATGTAATAAATGTCTATAAATGTCGTGTCGAAATAAATAAATGAGAGAAATGTCTGTCTCTCACACCCCAATGCCACCCTGAGTTCGTCTGTCACATCCCTGGCCACTGTCAAAGCGTCTCTGACACTCTTGTCCCGCTGCGGATGCCTCTTTCACACCCCGTCGTCACCGACAGACCGGCTGGTGCACGTCGCTGCCGTCGAGGGCCAGGCTGCAGAGCTGCCGTGTGATGTCAGTGCTCCGGTGGTCGGGGACGCGGTGCGGCTCGTCCTCTGGTACTACGGCACCGAGGGAACCATCTACACGTGAGTGACGCCGCTGTTTTTATGTTCCCGTGTAGGAGAGAGACTTATCTTACCGAATTCGATACACGTGTCCATCTCGCCTAATGCTCCGTCCGGCTACTATAGCCAGCTTTTCTTAGACAGATGACGCACTCCGACTATCGCTCTCGCTGTTGTGACCGGCTTTTCGTGTCGTGTATCTATTTCGGTGTTCGTATTCCGCCGGATGGACACGGCCTGTTATGTTCGCTTTTCCGCCGCGTCCCTGAAAGCACTCGGACCTGAAACATCTTGTGACGGCCCTGACACTCGTATAAAGCAGCCGAGCGCGAGGAGGGGCGACGGCGCGCCGCGTGCTGGCCAAAATACCCGAGTGGCCGAGGCTCTTACCAATCAGGGTCTCCCAGTAACGTCGTTTCTGCGGATCCTCCGTTTGCTTTAAGTTTGAATCTGATTGTATCGATGTGACACGTCTGGCACTCAGAGAGCTCCATAAACTTGAACGAGACCAGATAAGCCGTTTCAGAGGGCTCCACAGGTCCTAATAACAGCGATCGGTTGGCGGTTGGACGGTGCAGGCACCGCAATCCACATATTTTCGGAGATAAAAGGACGTAGATTGAACGTTCAATGACGTCGAGCGCGCCTCATCTCTACACATTCGACTGCGGTGATATATGGTGTGCGCTGATTCCTATGGAAGGCGTGCTAAATTGGACTTGTTCAAAATGTTTCCGAGAACGCAAAGCCCTCCTGAACATCTCCGGGAAATGTTCATTGTTAGGATACCATAGACTTGTTCCGTATATTCATTCAATACCTATTTTGATTACTAATGTTGTGCGCTAAAAAGCTAGTTATAATAGGTGCCCAAATCGCAATTTAATTAAATATGCAACAACACACGGTTTTCAGGTAGACTTATATAATTGATTTGAAGAAAAAAAATTATTCGTACCATGTACATTTCATGATTTGTGCATAAAACCATTTATACCATCATGTAGAAATCGGCCGTCATCAGTATCTGAGTTGCAATCAGATGCACTCAGATCGGCAGCTGATTTGTGACCTGTGGCCTGTGACCTGTGACCTGTGACCTGTGACCTCTGACCACTGACCTCTGACCTCCTTCCTACCTGTGACCTGTGACTTATGGCCTCTGACCTGCAACCTGTAACTACTTACCTGAGAGCTCTGACCTGTGACTCGTGACCCGTGACCTGTGACTCGTGACCCGTGACCTCTGACACGTGACCTGTGACCTGCGGCCAGGTACGACGCGCGCGGTCGCAGCGGCGGCGCGTCCGGCTCCCACTGGGCGAGCGGGGCGCTGGGCGGAGACCGCCTGCATTTTCATGTGGACGGGACCACAGCCAGCCTACGGATCAGCGCCGTCAGTCGAGCCGACGGCGGCGTCTACCGGTGCCGCGTGGATTTCGTCGAGTCGCCCACGCAAAACTCGCGCGTCAACCTTAGCGTCATCGGTGAGCTGAACAGACGCGCCGGGCTGCGATAGAAATGACTTTCGTCTTCTTTGAACACATTATGGTCACTCATATTATGGTGAGCTTGGGAGCTCTCATATTGCGTTACACCTAGCTAGTTAGTTGTGTTTTCGTCAAGCGGATTCTAGGCAAGCAGAGAAACTTACTTTATACAGCACTGCGAGTCTGCGCTAATCGCGCTGAAGCATCACCACTGCACGTCTGGCCTGAGATCGGGTTCATTACCTTAGACGACCGGAGATTCTCCCGTCTCGATTGAATGCAATATACTGGTTTGGATTTAGCATTAATTCCCCGCAGATCCAATGAAATTTATGAAGGTGGCGAAGGGAGCTTCCGACCCCGCCTATTTAAGGTCTTAGCGGCCGTAAGTGGGCGCTCGAGAGATTGGACAGATGCTTTGTGTGCGTCCGGGGGGATTAGCGCTGCCGTTGACAGTGGTGATTGTGCCTCGGTGCCGCTGGTGCAGTGGCAGGACCACGTCTCCGTCTCACGAGTATCACACTTGGCTAAGGCTATAAACTTACGGTAGTTACTATCTGTTCAATTGTCCCATTTCTTTTATTTGATTTTATAAAAAGACAACAAGCTTATACCTTATAGCATCTAGCTCGCAACAGCCGTCATTATTGCAAAATTTGTTTGTTGCTATGCTTCGTTGCGTGTTCGTAGTGGTTTTGCTATCGATTTTGTGATGTGTCAAACTCGAAAGTCAAAATACATGCTCTAATTCACTAAAATGTCCGCCTCTCTGAAAACAAAGTTGCTGGCAAACCTGTTAGAAATCCTTACGTCAACACTCAAATAACCCAATTAAAAAGTTCATGCCTCTACATACAATGCTGCGAAAGTTCAGACTACGCGGCGATGAATGAGCCGCGAGCTCGCCTGGAATTTATGTAGACTGTAGAGTGTAGACTGTCCCGGACAACAGCGTTGAGTGGCCGCCTGGAATGTAGACTGTACCGGATGACATCGCTGCGTATGTAGGCTTTGGTATGGGGGTCGCCCGAAATTTAGGCCCCTCTAGCGCTATACGTATAGTTGGGTAGGGTATAGCTACTGATGCTTCGTTGAGCGCCATAATCCTGCCAACAAATGTTTTTTTTTTATTCGCTTTTTATCTTTTGCCGTTTCCAGCAATGCCCAGCAACCTTTTTCAGCCCCGATTTTCTTCCAGTGAACAGAGGAATATTTGCGTAAAATATTGCTCCTAATTAAATGAAGAGCTCGGAGATTTACACTGCAAAAAAGGAAGAGAACGCGATACCTCTCTTTTCAGGAAGCGTTGCAATTTGCATGCATTAAAGTCCTAGCGGGCTTCTCTCTTTTTATGCAGGACCCGGGCGTAGAGGGGCAATTGGCCTGGTCCGCTGCGCTGTTTGTAGTAATACCCGAGAAAGGGTCGGAGGAAGTCTAAGGAAGTGTCCGACCCCTGCTAATCCCACTGTCATGTTGCACCTTCAGTGGTCTGCCCCTCTGTTAGTCTGTTAGTCTCTGTTGGTCTGGTTTGCGCTGCGGCGCCCTGCCTTTACCCCGATGTTGGTCGCGGTGTCCCGTACCGGGCTCCATCTTCCCGTCTAATGGTGCGTCGGCGACCGTCAGCGATACATCATCTAGCCCCATGGCCCGGCGTCCCTGCGTCCCCCTGTCCCCTCCCCACCTCTGACACACCCGGCGACCAATCTTGGTAGAGCGACCCCCTCCCGCTGCCGGCTGAGCTGGAACGTCGCCAGGGCACCGACCGATCCGTCACCAGCGTCTCCATGAGCGCAATACCGGGGACGGGGAACGTCCCAGAGGGCGGGGCCCAAACAAAGGGGACACAAGCGGAGCATAAAATGCTCTTGTTGATATGGGTGTTTGGTGGCAATGTTCCCAGGTCAGGGTAGTTAGCGGATATTTCTTGGATAATAGCTATAATTCAACTCTGTTTTTCCTCTGGTTGTGATTTGTGACTGTGTTGCGCTTTTGTGAGGCCTAGTCCGAATGAAATCTGCAGCAGAGTAAACGCCGGCTTCCGCGTCTTGCCGGATGGTCGTTATAAATCAAATGCATGATTAATTGCTAAGTGAAATTTTCAACGTGGTCCAGAAGCTGTTGCTCTGCTGCCTGCCGTGATAGGGGAGTTCCATCATATATACGCATAGATGTCAAAAACTCAGCAGTCCGATGACTGACTAGTATGAAAGAGCAGACCGATCATACAGGTAGCTCTGCAGTCTGTTTGTGCCGAACGCCCGGTGACCGTCTGGTACTCGTGCTCCCTCAGTTCCCCCTCAGCGACTAGAGGTGCTGGACAGCTCGGATAACCGTCTCAAGGAGGACACCATCGGACCACATCGGCTGGGCAGCTCCGTCAACATCACGTGCGCCGCCTTCGACGGTGAGATGACCTCCACCACAGCCGCCGGCGCCGACGGCGACTCTCAGAGGTCCGATATTGGCCCCGGTCCGATCACTGAGCTTTCCGGAGCGGCCGGCAACCGGACGTCGCCCGGGTCCTCTGATTCTCTGCGCGCCGTCCGGGGAAAAACCAAACACGTCTATAAAACTCTTGTTTTTATTCGATATTATAAGGCGCTGCCGTTTTTGGGCCCTTGGTTGCACTAGGAAATGTCGGAAAAGGGCCAAATCTTTGATTATGGGGGATCAAAATGGGCACCGCCTTGTGACCAAGGCGTGCACGGTGGCGATAGCTGGATTTGGAGCCTATCGCGAGGGGATCGGACCGAATCGTGCCTAAGTGGCTCCATCATATGAAACGGCGCTTTTGTCGCCCATACTAACACCCAACTTCCAGAGCATTGATCCGTTCTATTTATGCATTCATCACTTTTTGGCTTCCAAAATGACTAAAGCGAAAGTTCTAACTGCTAACCGAGTAAGTTCTAGCCATAAGCCAATTACGGCGCACATTGCAATTGGCAATTTCATAGGGAATGGATAGCAAGTGTAATGTTTACAGCCTAGTTGGACTGTATATTTCTTTCGTGAAGAATAGGGCAAACGGCAGCCAAAGTATAACCGGTGCCCTGTGTTGGGAAACATGTCACACATAGTTTTTTACATTATAAGTAATAGCGTCTCAACTCTCAATGCATAATTTTGTATGTCAAATTAATGTTTCAATGCCCATAAAAACCATGTGACTGCTCTCTGACCTGTCTGGTATCGGGCCCGGTGTCGGCAGGCTCACCCCCTCCGAACGTCACGTGGTGGCGGGGCGGTACCCGGCTGGGCGGCCCGACCCACTCTGCCTCGGACGGCTCCGTGCGCTCTCCCCTCCGGCTGGGACCTCTCAGTCGCGCCGACCACGGCGCCAGGCTCACCTGCATGGCCGCCTTCCACCCGTTCAGCTCGGCACTGACGACATCGGCCGTCATCAGACTGTTCCGTGAGTATCGCTGAGGGGAGGGGATCAGGTCAGTGGGACAGGGAGGGACTACGCCGTCATCAGGCTGGAGGATCGCCAAGTGGAGGGGGGAAGGGCATGGATAGGCGACCGTGAGGTCAAGTTAACAGAGCTGTGGAGCCACGACCAGTACCCACCCAGACGTGCTCAAACAGTTACCTTCCCTTGAGCATAGCTGCCAGCAAAGTGAAAAGGTTACAGTTCTAGAAGACACGGCGTTAGCAAAAGGCCAGCGTGTTGTCGGAATTAAACGCCCGAGTAATACAAATCAACTGAGACAAATATTGGAGTCGTTCTCCGCATTATCCCTGGCCTTATTGTGCTCGCCAATGGCATTAGCGTCTGTACCGTAATTCCACCGAAGACCCTCGGAATTCCCTGGATAGGGGAAAACCCACCTCGCCCACATAACACGTGCTGACTGCTGACCCCACAGACACGTGAACACACGGTGCCCATGCCTCACAAGCACCCGTCGCTGCTCCAAAATGCGACACCCAGACCCAGGGCTCTCAATGCGACACCTGAGTCCTGACACTCGTAAATGCATACCGGCCGACCCCGCCTTAGCTGTGGTAGGTATACACTTTGTCAACCGTGGCTGAGCTGCAATATACGGTTCCGTTAATCAGTTTACTGTTATGGACGTTAATCGCCGTTCACACACATACCTACCTGCTAGTTCCGTTGTGGTTCCGTCACGCCTGTGGCACACGTGCTCGACCGGAGTCAACTATTTCCTCAGCCTCCCGGCTAGTAATTGCCACAAACGCCGCAAAGCCCTGGCAGTGAGTTAGGCGGCACAGTCTACCAGCCAGGCGCGCCGGCCAGGCGGCACAGTCTAGCGATCAGGCGGCGGCACAGCCTACCAATCAGGCGGCGCCCGACTGTCGGCGCGGCGGTAACTTGCTACGCAGGCTGTCGGCCCCGCAGGACAAATTGCACCAGTGATAAAAATGATATTTAGGTGCACAATTATGGGTTTTTATTGTTGTAGCATTGAAAAATGAGTGAATATAGAATATACGTATGTTATTAGATCTAATAGCAGTTAAGGAAAATGTAGTCGGAAGGCAAGGCAGTTGATCACAAAACGGCGAATTGAAAAAATGACACCGCTGTGAATTTTTGTTGCTGATGTTTCTTTAAGAACCTCACACTCGCAGTTCTGTAACTGCATCACGAAAGCTCCCACCTGAACTAATGCTTTGTAGTCGCAAGTTCTCAGTACCTCACGAATATTTAACTCCGCTTACTCCACAGATACGCGCTTCGGTGGCCTGCGGTTAAAGTTTCTCGCTACGCATATTGTAAATGCATTGGATTTCAGCGTGGTCGTGTCAGTTGCCACAATGTTACCCATCAGACCAAAGTTATTCGCGTGAGTTTTACATCGTTTCAGGACGTAAGTTGTTAAATGACGTCGCAGTCCCATGCAAGAGTCCATATCAGCGTAGTCTGCGTTTGAGCTGCACTTTTCTACATCATGTCAGCTCAAACGGTTAGACTTCAGGCTGAACTTTATGCAACACGAATTGTGAATGACCCTCGCGACACGTGGCATGCGAAGGAAATCCACTTAAGTGAGAAATGATTGTCTGTACCTACCGCAATTACTCTTCGCGCGAGAGTTGGCACAGGCTCGTACGAACCCAATTGGGTGCAAGCTTTTCCACTTTGGCAAAAACGTTCAGCTGCCCGAGCGGCGACCAGCCGGCGCGTGTGCGACAAAGAGCAGCCGGGCGGACCGCCGAGCAGATCTCATTAGGGACCTTTGGGAGATGAGGCGTCCCAGTTGGACGGGGAGCGTTTTAGTGCCGCGAGTCGAGTCGGATGGAGGAATCGCTCTGCTGACAGAAACGGCAATTTGGACCAGGCGTAAAAGTAATGAACATATGTATGCATGCACGTTATCTGTCTGACTTAAATATTACTCAGCTCAGCTCGAACTCGGGAAGGCGACTGTTAACTTTGAATTTTGAGGCATCTCAATAAAACAGCGCTGGGTAGATAAACTAACTAAACACCCAGCTGTGCAGTGTGCATCGCTGAACTCGCCTCTGTCTCATTTGAAAGTGTCAGCAGCGGACTTACATATGTAGTTACACGACTATCGAATTGGCATCCGGTGGTCGTCTAAATGTCACCGCCATCTGTCACCGTCATTCGGGACCGATTCGAGAGTGGCTCATACATTCATGAGCGTGTGTACAGTGCATGAGACGCCGGCGGTGTCCAATTGTCCACGGCCGCCGGTCCCGTGCGGCCGGGCTGGGGCCGGAAATAGACGCGCGCCGCTCGACCGGCCGGCGGCACATATATTTGAACAGCTGCCGACCGATCGGGGCTGCCGACGCAGGCCTCCTCCAGTGGCCGAAGACCAGGCGGTGGGGGCCGGAGCGGCGCGAAGGCGCACACGAGGCGGCCGCGGCCGTACATCAGCGCCCACGGCACGGGAACAGATGCCGCGCGGTCGACTCCGTTATCAGTCGCCGGAGCGAAATGGCCGCACTGGGAGGAGTTTCAGACTTTTTATTGGCGTAGCCATGCGAGTTTATAAACACTTAACAGGGTACAGATTTTGCATGGCAATGAATAACGCTGCACCTCGATGGAATTGAAGAACTGCCTATTATGGACGACTTTTAGAAAAAATTGCCTTCATTTATATAATTTCTGGCCTAATCAGACGAGCTGAATGTCCGTCCCATGACTTGTAGATTTTGAGTTAAATTTTAATTTTATTGACATTGGCTCCGCTTCTGCAATAAAAACCGGAAACTCTCCTCAATACCAGGTGAACTTTGAAGTGACGAACATTAGTTGTAACTTTTGTGACATTGTGTTGTGCCGTAATTTTTGTTCTTTGTGTTCCATTCAAAGTAAAAACAATTCAAATGGAATTTTAGGAATATTCATATGTTCCCAACAGAAATATGCTAAGTGAACGACGCTTGGATAAAAGCGTCTCGAGTGCCTCAACCCGTTTCGAGAGTATATTGTGGTCAGTCGTCCAGCACCCTCGGCGTCAGCCAGCAGATACGCGAAATAGAAGCGCACATAACCTTATATGATAGGGATGATAAGTATACCGATGCTTGCATATATAGGCAATAGGCATACATGCTAATGCGTATATACGCCAGCATATGTGGAAGCATATACTATATATCCGTGTATACGAATACTCACTGATGGACTGTGCGATCTACATTGCGCCGGTTCGCCTGACCGCCTTTTTCGGCCACTAATGGATCCACTGCCCGGATACCTTGTCTGTGTTAATTGCTCGTCTGGGAGCCGTCCGTCATCCAGTACGAGGGAGAGGGAGAGGGAGGGGAGAGCAGCGCTCGCCGGCTGTCCGCGACCCCTCCCCCTCGTTCCTGTGACCCGGATAGGACCGCTGCCGCGCCATTGGACGGCGCGCCGAGGCGAACCAGCCATACATCTGCGCCGAGACAAAGGCCCGCACCGCACCAACTCAATGCCCGAGTTCGGCTAACTTTTACCCGAAACATTGTTTTGCAGGACCATTTGCCGACGCCTTCCAAAGTTAGAAGTCCTAAACAGGGACCGGGTAGACGACAAAAATGGAGACGAATACTGATGGAGAGACAGCAATTGATAACACGACTAAAAAGTGGATGGACGACAGCCGATGAAAGATAGAAAAGAGCGAGAGCGGGAGAGAGAGAGAGAGAGAGAGAGAGAGAGAGAGAGAGAGAGAGAGAGAGAGAGAGAGAGAGAGAGAGAGAGAGAGAGAGAGAGAGAGAGAGAGAGAGAGAGAGAGAGAGAGAGGAGAAGAGACAGACAAACGGACGCTCGATTATCGTCGTCTGCCGTGCTGCTCTTCATCTTCGTTTGAACATGGCTGGCGATAGTTTGACAGTGGCATTGTATCAACCTTTTTGTGGGCTGTCGTTCGACCATTTGACCTCCGGGCTCCGACGGCAGTCTTTTGAGCTCCCGGCGATCCTTTGACCTTCCCTGAGCAGCTCTCTGACCTTTCTCGATGCGTTGCTTCTCTGACCTCCCCGATAGCCGGCTGACCCCCCCCCCTCCTGTTACTACTCTGACTGACCCAGTGTGACCCGTGACCTCTATTGACACCGGCGCTGGTCCTTCTCTGACTTCTCTCTGTTAGCTCACTGACCTCCCCTGTCTGACCCGTGACCTCTGTCGGCCCCTCAGCACTGGTCCTCTGACCTCCCCGTCGGCCCTCTGACCCGGGACCGCTGCCAGCCCCGCGGGCCGCGGCACTGCACTGGTCTGGCTCTGGCAGATATGGTCGCCGACTGTACACGGCTCTGCGCTCGACAGAGGCCATCAGCGTGCGGCTGCTGGCCGCTGCCACGCTGATGGCAGCCATCGGGGGCTGTTGGGAGCCAGACGGAGCTGCCAGCCAGATGGACACCATAGCTGACTGGACAGACAGACGGCATATATGGAACGTCAGTCGACAGTCGCCTTATAGAACTGCCGGACAGTCAGCTCAGAAAGACTGATGAACGGATGAACGGACGGTGCTTTCTTGTGTAGAACTGCCGGGTGGACTTTTTATTTACAAAATGCAAAATCGAAAAGGAAAAAGAAACTAACGAAGGGACAGGATATAAGCTGCAGACTGTTGGTCAGACAATGCATTGTCTGTGCACACATGCATTGCAATACCTACATAACAAAGCACTTCAACGTCGCTCCAAATGATAATCCTGCTACGAGACAAGCTTTATTATAGGCGAAAGTTCGAGTGCTTGGGCCTGCATACAGAATATCGTTCATAGCTCTTGGTCTGACGGTTTAACCTAACCAGACATGCCAAAAGGAAAGCGTCATTTCCTCAGCGATAAGCGTTGCTCTTCGGAGAAACGATAACCAAACCTAAGACAACTGTAAAATCAGCACACACGGCCTGTTCCGCTAATAACTGAGACGCCGATTAGGCTGTCGTCTTCATCAACCAAGTCGGTCAGTCTGATAAATACACAATGCACACATCCGTTCAATGGAGGTCGGACGACGCTAAGAAGTGAGAAATGTTCAGTTGAAGGTTACTGATGAGTGTTTTTCCTGCTATTTCACTAAATGTCAGCTGTCAAGAGCCACTGAGGGGTCAAGCTTTGTCATGCCCCTCTCCCATTCACCCATCTACTAGTAGACAGTAGGTTTTTAGTAGACAACTGAGTCCGGTTAGAGGGCTGTCTGTGGTCGGACAGAGGCTAGGGCCGCTGGGGACCGCGCCGGTCAGAGGGCCAGCTGCCCTGTGCAGTTGGTCAAAACTCAAAGGGAACACGTCAAAGGTCTGGAACCAGTCTGAGATCTTTTTGTAGTCGGTTGGTCGGTCAAAGGATGGGTCAAAGGAACAAACAGGAGACAGGCTAGTGTGCCGATCAAAAGGACAATCTAATTACCACTATAGATTAGCAGGCGCCTCTGGGTATCTTCATGTCCACGTTCGCCGTTGTATTGCCATTACCCCCTCTGCCTCGGTCTTATACCGTCCACCGTTGACCGCGCTCTATTGGCCGGGCCCCGAGGCGATCCTAATGGGGTCAATGCAGCAGAGGCGAGCAAAGACGTCAGTTGGTTCGGTCACGACAGCACCGCAGAGGAAGTGGAATGATGGCAGCGCGGAAGCTGGGGGGGGGAGGGGGTCACGCTCTCTTCGGTAGCTGAGAGGGTGGGGGTTGGGGGGGGGGGTATGGGAGAGGGTGGAAGACGAGGTATGGAAGCAACGGTGCGTGAACTGTAATAGCTAGGCTGAATAGATCGGTTTGACTGTATGCGAGTCAAACAGATGTCAGTCATGTCAAATGTCAGATTGAGATAATGAAACTAACTTTCCGTTTTAGTGACCGGCTTTGCATCAGTCCAGTGATGAGACCGGCGAACGCAGCTAGATTTCGTCTCCGGTTTCTCAAAGTGGCAGAAATTGGGGACGATATACTGCGATTGTGGGCAGAACCTTTCCTGAATCCTGACTTGACACTGACGGAGTCTGTTCCGCGAATTTAGCATAAGGTTAACCGTCCCCGCCCGCGGCTTCGGCAAACTTTCTAATGCAATTAGTCTCCCACGCGCGGCCGGCCTAGCTCGCCTGTGCAGGATCGATGGCAATAGGCGTTAATTGATGTACTTCCTGGTAGAACAGGCCCAATATCTGTCATTGTTCGGTGAGACAGTCCCATCCAATATGTCTCCCAGCCAGCTGGCAGGATTGCAAGCATGCAGTTCATAATATTGGTAATGTGCTGAGCTGACTCGGCCGACGGCCGCCCCACGCTCCACAATCGAATGAAATATGGAAATATCTCACGTTTCGTGATCGGCAGAGATATTGAATATTACCAGTGCTCCCTGAGCTTCTATCACAACGAGACATCATTCAATGATGTTATCCCGGGAACAGCCTGCACATACCGCATATTGCATACATTATTCAGCTTTTTGCTGAGATTGCATATGACAATGCATCAAAGGCGAATTTAATTATAAGGTTACCAGCGGCAGCGACCCACACTGGCTTTATTGCAACAATAAAAGGAAATCAATTGACCCTGTACTACTGAGTTGCTATCCTGTATTGAATGAGAAACGTGCTCCGATTTACCGATTAACCGCACAATGACAGCCTGTGTCCTGTGTTTCAGTGCCCCCAGAAAGCGCCACCATCCACGGGCCGGCCGGGGGTCGGGTGGTGGCCGGTCAGCCGGTGACCTTGACCTGTCAGGTGACGGGGTCCGAGCCGGCGCCCGTCATCAGCTGGCGGCTGGGCTCGCAGCCGGCGCCCGGCGCCCGCCAGCAGCCCAGTGCTGACGGCAACGGTACCGTCTCTGAGCTGACCTTCACCCCCGAGGTGTTCGACCAGGGCCGACCCGTCACCTGCAGCGCCGCCAACCCGTCCGCCGGCGGGCCGCCAGTAGAGGACATTCTACCCCTGCACGTGCAGTGTGAGTGGGGTACAATGGTGCTGCGCCGACAGACGGGGGCAGTTAGATGTCCCGGCTGCCGCGGCCAGTGGGTCGGCCAGGCGATAACGACCGCGTCTGAAAGCCGGCAACGCCAGACACTGGCGGATGGGCCGGCCGGCCGGCTGGGCATTCTGGGTGACGATTACCGGGTGTAATAACAGAAAACGAGCTCTGCAGATTTCGTATTTGGGGCATTTGGCGCGGCGTTCGTCATAATTCAGTAGTGGGCGAGCGTGATCGCCGCTCCAAATTAGCCAATCTTCCTCGTTAGGCGAGGCACGACTGCGATATAAATCACATACAAATGTGCCATTGCGAACATATTCTATCCATTTGCCTGAGTTTATGTTGAACTTCGTTCTTCTTTTGTATTGATTAACTTTGAGTAGCTTGTTATGAGATGTAAGTAGCCCCAGCACAATACGATTAATCTCATTTTACAGCATCGACGGTCAAGGGCGTGAGACGCTTTTAACTTCCACCCGGCGTCAGATTTGTCGCCTGTGTTCTGGATACCGTTTTACACCGTTCCTCCCCTCTTTCAGATCTGCCGTCCGTGTCAGTCTACCGTTTTACACCGTTCCCCTCCTCTCTCAGATCCACCGTCCGTGTCACTGTCTACCGTTTTACACCGTTTTTCCTTCTCCTTCAGACTGTGTCACTGTGTGTCATTTTGACACCTCTCCTCCTTCATCAAACCAAGGGGCTATGTCGCTGACTGTCTGCCGCTTTACATCCTTTCTCTCCTGCTGTCAGGCCCGCTATATGTGTCGCTGACTGTATGTCACTTTTACACCTTTTCTCGCTTTTTCAGACCCACCGTCCGTGTCGCTGACGCTGCGGCCCGAGCGGCCCCTCCGGGAGGGACAGACAGCGCGTCTCTTCTGCAGTGTGCGGGCTGAGCCGGCCGTCACACAGGTCCGATGGAAACACGAGGTAAATGTCCGAGACACGGCAGGATGGCGACCATCCGACGGTGGCTATACGCGGACGACCAACAACACACTGTCTGTTCGAGATGACAGGTTCGTCTGTGAGAGATATAGAGAGAGCTGTAAACAGACCACTCCGTTGAAAAGAACGAAAACCAGCAACACGAAGGAAAACAACACGAAACAGGCGAACTCCATTTGTTTTTGGGAGTGTTGTTTTCCATGTCAGCGTTTCCCGTTTCTGCGGTGAACTTGTGCAGTACGCACGTAGGATGCTAATAATTTACCCGTCTAATTGGATGGCTCGCTCGAATTCGCATAGCGACTCCTCTTCTAAATTTTTCCCAGCTGAGCCAGGGCCACAGACAAATAACTCTGCAGAGTGGTAGTTATGTGTACCTGGTGCAGACTGAACCACGCGTCCCACTCGAGGTCGCCATCATTGATGCATTGTTTCAGGGCCTCTGGCTGCCCGAGCTGTCCCCGGGGAGCGCAGAGACAGCGCTGAACGGCAGCAGCGAACTGACACTGGCCAATGTGCGGGCCAACGTCTCGGGAAACTACACCTGCCAGGCCACCAGCCCCCTGGGAACCGTCCAGAGCCAGCCCGTCACGCTGCGAGTCCAATGTAAGACACGGCTAATTCAGCCTGAGTTCCGTGTTCGACGCGGATGGCTCACTCAGAGAAGGACGGCACTCGAATGTATCTGATGTGGGCTAGTTCAATTACAGTCGCTAAATTACGTCAATACAATCGCACTTCATAGTACTGTTAAGCAAAAACACGAGTCTTGTAAGGTAACATCAGTTGCTTTGCATAATTCATTGCAAAGTGTTATTGTTCAACCTCGACTGGACAGTGAAGAATAAGCGTGTGCCGTATCCCTGCATTTTTATTTTTAAATCGCGTTTCTTCCCCCTCTTCACCTCTCTGTCTCTCTCTCTCTCTCTCTCTCTCTCTCTCTCTCTCTCTCTCTCTCTCTCTCTCTCTCTCTCTCTCTCTCTCTCTCTCTCTCTCTCTCTCTCTCTCTCTCTCTCTCTCTCTCTCTCTCTCTCTCTCTCTCTCTCTCTCTCTCTCTCTCTCTCTCTCGGTGTGTCCGTGTGTTTGTTTGCTCATCTGACATCTCGGTGGCGGCTCTGTCCGGTTTCCAGACGTGCCGATGTGTGTATCGGACACTCCTACAGTCCTGGAGGCAGCCCGGGGTGACAGTCTTAATGTCAGCTGTCACGTCGCCTCCTTCCCCAAACCCCTGCGCTTCCGATGGAGCTTCAACAGTTCAGGTTGGTTGAGAAACTCAAATACCATCCAACTCGTGCAGTCTCGACATCATTTAATTTTCCTCCTGCTATTCATCGGTAACTTTGCGCTCAAGAGAAGTTTACTGTGAAACTAGATCAATAGCGCGCGCGCGCTGCGACTTATTTGGACCGGGCGCGGCATTGAATAGTATGTATGTACACACAGTAATTTTGAATGGTACCCGGACCTGAGTCTAGCAAGTCTCAAAGAACTCGCTGCCCAGAGTCACAGTATCGCGGCATTGCCGCCTACGGGCGTGCACCGGAGAAAAAAACTGACGACGATTGAGTGAAAGGATGTTTTTCTTTTTATTGCATTCCCTAACGCAAGCTTAATAGAAGTGACGTTAAGTCAGCATAAGTTAGTGCACTTTTCGTATAATATCAACACTATTGAAAGCAGTGTTTGAGTAGTCTCGGATGAAATGGAACCAAGAAATTCGTTTACGTTTTAAGAACTTAAGCCTTCAGTGGTATGTTAAGCGTTCAGTTGTGCTAGTCTAGTGTGGTTAATTCGATTGCCGACCTCTCCAGACGCGCTGATACCACAGCGGGAGTTTAGTAGCAGCCTGGTGAACGGTAGCACCCTCAGCTATACACCTCAGCTGCCGTCAGAGTTCGGCACGCTACTCTGCTGGGCGACCAATGAGCTCGGGGAGCAGCGCGCGCCCTGCGCCTACCTCGTCCAGCCGGCAGGTGAGTGGTGCCGATTGTATTTTTTTTTTTTTGATAATCTGCAATCAAGCGCTATATGTAAATACTCTCGTCTGACATATAGGTATGCGCTACAGATAAGCTATAAGACCAGCATTACTGATGTTTCTGATATTACTCCTTTGGACGTCATGTCATCATCTTCGTCGGATGTGAATTCACTCCTTCTCACCACTGACGTCTTTCTGTCGTGCCCCTCAGACGTGTGTGACAATTTGTCTGGCCCGGACGTTATTTCATCGAACTATGAAGCCAATCCATCGCTCCCCTTCCCCCGGAGGTGCCCAGCCCTCTCTTGAACTTCTGACACCTCTCCATCTTCCCTCAGACGTGTATCACCCTCCATCTGAACCGGCTGGGTTTCTGACACCCCTCCATCGTCCACTCTGACGTTCCCGACCCCCATAAGAACAAGTTAGACTTCTGACACCCCTCCTTCCCTTCAGACGTTCCCGACCCTCCGTCGGACTGTGTCATCATCAGTCGAACCGAGACCGCTCTGGTGGTCCGCTGCCAGCCGGGATTTGACGGCGGATCGAGGCAGATGTTCAGGATGGAGGTGTGCGGGACCAGCGGCGGTCACCAAAGGAATGTGACCTCAGCCAGCGCCAGGTGGGTGCTGGGAGCTGGGTGCTGGGTGCTGAGTGCTGGGTGCTGCGTGTTGCTGAGTGGCGGATGACAGCTTCTGGTGCTGGTTCTTCTGGTGCTAGCGCCCCCCCCCCCCTTAGTGATCAAGCAAATAAAAGAGGTCTACATTAATAAAGCCGAAAGTTTTATATCGGAGCAATTTCCGGAAGTGAAATGAACTCAATCATAATCGTTCAACGAACATCCTTCTTCGACCTTCACTTATTGAACAAGAACATTTCAGTCTTAGCGCCCTTTTCAAACAGACGTATGATCCATGAAAGCCAGAGCCACGTTTGAAATGATTAATAATAAATTATGAGCCAGTAAGACCTAACGAGCAGCCTGTGTTCACCGAAAGCATTCGAAGCTTTTCATGTGTCCACACAAACGATATACGTATGCGCGATGCGCATGACTTATTATTTCAAAATAGATTATCATCATAAATTGTTGCCAACGAAATTGTCATCATGATAATATTCATGTTTTGAAGAAAAAAAATCGGTGAAAGTTTCGGTGAAGGAGTGAAAAGGTGAAGGTGAATTTTTCACCGCCGAAGGGTTCATTTAATTGTTCCAAATGCACATTTCAGTACAGTCGATAGTCGATACAGGCGTTTGTGGATTAGTCTTGATGATTAAACTCTGTTTGAACTATGTGTAAAAGACACCAATATTCATTAAATTCACATCTCAGGCCCCATTTTTTTCCACTACTGGGTTTGAAGGGCAGTGAGGGTGCCGATGCGATTGCAGAAAACGACCATATTACCATCAGATTAAGCCGGGCGTTAAAAACGAGCTTCTCCGGGCGATGAATGGGGCATTTCCGAACATTAGCACTCAATCGACAGCGTACACAGTCCGTCATAATGTAGGAATTCCATCGCTCCTAGGAAATGACTTCATCACCTCACGAATGCAAATGTCGGAAATTTTATCCCTCTCTCGGATGGAGCGACGAACAAACAATTTAAGCGCCGGAAACTTCTCCAATGGAATCTCGGAGAGTTCTCGCGAGTTTTGTGAACTGTGGGCGGAGCGGGCTGTTGTTTATCGAGACTATAGGTTGGGATTCAGGCTCATTCGGATGTGGTTTTGCTGGATCACCACCTCTGTTATTGGGAGGCATTGGCATACATACAAGAGAGTGCTGAATAGGAAGGTGTGCTGCCGGTAAATCGAATCACGATTTCAACGGTGAATATAGACAGTGGATTGTGGAACAATCGGCTTAGGGATGGCGTGGTCGACGAAAGGTTTGCTTTGGTAGCGCTAAACAGTTTAAACAGTTTATCAGCATTATCGGGGTCTATGAATGGTGTAATGACTAATGACTATGTGTAATGTATATCAGATCTCTATATTATGCCTAACGATCTAAACGAGGCTCAGGTAAACCTTTAGTGCCCAGCTTGCCTTTCCACAGCTGTGATCAAGTCAGTTTCTGTTTCCCGCAGACTGCGAGCGAGTGGCCTCGAGCCCGGCCAGCAATACCACCTCTCCGTGTACGCCGTCAACAGACACGGTAGCAGTGCGGCTGCCACCCTCGTGGCCAGCACGGCGGCAGACGAACGGGACGCCCAACAGCACCACGGTAAGCGCTGGCCGCCTCGGATCAATGGTTTGAATGTGGTGCTATATGGGGTCGCATGTATTTACATCGACTGGTGTCTGTTGGATACGAATGATTTTAAAACTTGGATAAAAGCCTTGAGCACACTTGACGTAATTTTCCCCAAAAGAAGTTTCGTATACCTATACGTGTTCCAAATGGATGGCCTCATATCCAGCAACTGGACAGAGGACAGCAACTAAATGTCGGGATATCTACTTGCTCGAACGCAGCCCTGCCTCCCCCCCCCCCGGCACTGACCCGGCCCCCATCTGCGGTCTGCGTGCGCTCTCCGCCAGGGTCTGTGTCCGAGCTGCTGCAGCTGACGCCGATCCTGGGCGTGCTGATTGGCCTCGTCACCGCACTGGTGCTCACCGCCGCCATTCTGGTGGGCACGCGTCGCTGCCGCGCCCGGCCGGCCGCTAAGGTGACAGGCACAAAGGGAGGGACGGCGCATAGCGGCATGTGGGGGAGCCGCGGACGGGGAATACGGGAATACATGGGAAACTTAACCCTAGAACGCCTAGGGGGGGGGGGGTTGTATCAACCCCCCCTCTGAGGTTTTTTCGAAGTGCACGCTAAACGGCTTGTCGTAGCGGGCTGAAATTTTCAATACCCTCTGGGGCAACCTTTGCGCATCTTTTGCCGAAAAAAATTGATCGGGTCATGTCAGGTCACGGAGTTATGACGTCATAAGAGGTACAGCCTCCGGCCGACAGTTACCAAACGTGTGCGCCGAATCCCTAGGTTTTCTGCCGGTGATACCCACATTGTTTGATGGATCATGATGAAACTTCCCATGCATGTTGGGGCAAGCATTGGCTATCGTGTGGTGCAAGAAAATTGACCGGGTCAGGTCAGGTCACGGAGCTATGACGTCACAAGAGGAACAGCGTCCGGTACTATTTTTGAAAAGCGCCCGAACCACTATTTTGCTAATTCTTGTCACCTCAATGGGAATATGCAGCAATATTAGCTTCTATAGGGAGCAAATGGACCTCCCAAATCCAAAAATACAATCAGATTTCAAAAATTTAAATTTTGATTTTTCGAATTTCTGCCGCCGACTGTGACCTTGCCGACTTCCGGCGCTCCCAACGCGCCATTTTTAGAGCTAGGGAAACGAAATACATACCAAACGATAGAGAATTGATCAAGGAACACGATAGTGAAGGTTTCAAGTCGATATCTCCCACCGTTTTGCCGCAATCGCCGCGGAAAGTTGAAAAAGTTTGATTTTTTTCGGAAAATTTGACCTTTGACCGGTCATAAGTAGGTCAAATGTTGACCTAGGACCAAAAAATATACCACCAATCGCGAGATCTCGTTGAGAGCAATCCGTTGGTTTTTTCCGCTAAGCTCTACGACCTTCCGTTTCGAAACGCCAGGGGGGGGTCGTAACAACCCCCCCCCCTGGTCGTTCGTGTTATGAGAAATGGCCTGGTCGTGCGAGGGTTAAGAAAATGAGTGGTTATACTCGCTGCCTTTTAGAATAGGAATTGCATACCTTATGTCACTTTAAAGTCAAATACAATTCGTCTTATTTCAGGAAAACCCTCAGGAAGTGTCTCATGTGCAATTGGTGAACAACCTCAGTGATCTGGGAAGTATGGAAGAAAAACATGATCCCGACCTGATACCACAAAAGACAGGTGCGTGATTTTCGTGTGTTTCTCTGTCAGTTGAGCAGCGTGCTTTTTATCGAGAAGTGACAGTTACTTACAAGAAAATACACTTTTAGAATCCAAATTCTCCTGTTCGTTCGATATTTTTCCCGCATTCAATTTTTGCCATAGCATTTACTGATAAGTAGGGTTCGATAGGGCGGCATCTTCTAACGGCAGCGTCGGTGCATTCATTTCAGAATGCATCGACCCAGAAGAGAAGCACATGATTGAGCGGCTACGCAACAGTCGTTTTCCTCCGCCACCTGCGCGCTTCGGAGACAGCTCTACCCTGTCTCCTAGTGAGACACGTCTCCTGTCACCTAGTGAGACACATCTCTTGTCTCCCAGTGAGACGGGACTGCTGTCTCCGACCTCGAGGACACTCCCACGTCCCGAGCGCGTGTCATCTTGTGGAACTCAGACAGCCCCACTCAGCCCGCGAGGGGGTCACAAGGTAAGAGCGACACAACTGCCAGATTATAACAGTGGCCCGAGCAGGGGACACAAGGTAGAGCGCGAGGACCGTCAGGACGTGAAGGCACTATACGTACGGGCGTAGGGAATGACGTACTTGTTACAAATTATCGCATAAAGGAAGGACGTCGGGGTAGTTGTGCCACGACTGCCAGAACGTGGAAGTCGCGCACCATTCCAGCACCATACCTGTTGCGCCAACTGCTTCCTGCACTATATCCATTGACCGCGAATCTTACCTTAATCTAAAGTGAAATGAATTACGGATCATTGTCATGCAGCTGCCAATGTCAGTCTTCCTAACCAATATGGATGACCCAATATTGTCGAAAATATATTTGCATTGGGCGCGGCTCTCGCCATCCGTAACTTTTCACTGCTTTGCTAATGTTGAAGTCGTGATCGCCATCATATTATATAGCATAATGCAAATAAGATGCTCTTGCGCACACATAGTTATGCATGTACCTACGCAAGTCAATAACTCAGCCCTCGCCTCATTCTTTTTAGCTGAATAGTTCGTGAAAGAAATGCCCACAAATGATCATATCATGGCTACTTGTAATCTGCTCAGCATGCGTGAAATTGATTGATAAGAATTGAGAATTTATGTTTGACGACGATAGTAAGACTAGAAAGGTTACTTTAATCCCATTTCCCATTGAGAGGTGGAAGACAATCTCAAATGGTTGCTATGCCACCAGACCGGCAGTGCAAATGCCGCTCTCCGCTACCGCGCACAAAACGCCGCTCTTCCTGAAAGCGTGCCGACCCATCCTTGCAGGGATTTTCTCGATTGAGTTCGGGAGAAGATTCAATTTTCTGTCCGCTGGCTGTATTGACACTGAAACTGATTGGCCCGTTAGTGTTGCTCCACGATCACACGTCTCGTCAATCGTCAAGTTATGTCAACATAGAACATGCGACTATGGGCTTCCTTTCCCGGCAGGCCCGGCGCCGGTGCCGGGGCCGGCGCAGAGCTATAGAACTCCCCGGCGGTCGTAACGGCACCCGGCGCCGAGGGACCGTCTCTTCTAAATCTGGCAGTTGGCAGCACCATCCTCTGTTCCAATGACGTCATTTGTGAAAAACGTCCGCCGCTCGATTCTGTTGACAAGAGTGAGAGCTGGCAGTGGCCGGTCCGAAGTGCGATCAATGGTCTCGGGCCGGTAGTGTCTCTGGTTGGTCCGGGACGTCGGTGGTCGGACCCCAGCCCGGTGCTGGATAGAAGAACCGAGCAGCGCCGCTCCAAATACACCTCCCGGCGAATGGGGCCGCACCACCGGCAATCGTACTTCGTGATTAGTTGCGAACTTCTGCTCCAGATGGCCAATCGACGTAAATGTCCCTCTCGAAAATGGTTGTGTGTCGGCCACCTGGAGATTAATGGTTTCCACCATCGACTGGGAGATAATACGAACGCCCAACTGCAACAGCAATATCGCCCTGAAATGCCACGATAAATACGGATGGCCGAGGTATAGCTTGTATAGCCTCAAATAAATGGTTTAAATTCGAAAAGGATAAATGTTTCGACAAGGCATTATATTTTGAATTATAAAGATGAAGTTAGCCGTCCTTTTTTTTCTCTCTACCACCGTCAATTGAAAAGGCTTAACACGTTTGAAGCTGGCCGTTCAAGGAGCTACTCCAATTCTTCCAAGGAAATCAAGACTATTATTCCTAATTGCTCGTATTTATGCCAGAGTGAAAACAGTGCACTAGCTTGGTCACTTGGTCCGAGGACATTCGGTTGTTCTGTTGATTTCCGAACTATTCCCCCCCCCCGCCATCGCTAAACGGGGAGTACCTATGATGAGACGTCATGTTCAATGTGACGTCATCTGTCGTGATGGAGCTCACGCCAGGCGCCTCGGCCTATACGAGGTCAGTATGGGGACAGCGGGTCGAAGCCGCAAGATGAGAGGCTTCGGCTGCCGCAGTGGCTTCATTAGCACTGTACGTGGTATGAAAGTCAACGCAGTCGACGCGACGTACTTTGAGAGGTTCCGATAATGCTATTACGATCAGAAACGTGCCTGGTGTGGGTATTGGAAAGCTTTCCAAACTACCAACAGGCTGACTGTATGGGACTGAAAAGAAATCAGCTCCCTAACCCGACTCTCAACTCAATCCATATTTCTAACGCTGACAAAGTCGGTTCCGGCGCAGTCAGTCTCCCCGTCATGGCTTGAGCTCTAAAGGACTACTGATACCGAAACCGTCTGGTGAAAGGAGACACATACCTATTCTGGCTCTCAGGAAGACAGCTAGGCCTTCTGCGCTTAGAACGGTCCTGAGACTCAGTAGTCAGTCAAACGTGCTGAGATAATTTTAAAGCGTGAAATGGTTGGAATTTAGTCGCACATTTATATCTCCATGCTACAGCAAGTAAACACGAATAACTTAATAGTTTTCAGGTAAACATATTTAGCGAGAATGTTACCACAAACACGTTACCTATACTCAAGCGGAATCAGCAGCGCTTGTGACCTTCGTAGTTCGTGGATTCAGGATCATGACGTACCGGAATAGTCACTCTTCGCACTTTCCTTTCAATGACAATGGAAAAATTAACGAGGAATCTGCCCACTTTTCTTCCTCTCATCATGCCTATTGCGCTAAATGCTCACGTATGTGCATAAGCTTGAACATATAAATACCTATGTGTCTGCCATTTTGATTTTTACTTTTTTCAGAGCACGACGCTGCAGCTGATGCGCCCCTCTCGGCGGAGGAGCTCGTCATCTCTCCAGCAGGTGCCATCAGTAAGTGGTGGTCACCTGCTCACAAAGTTCTAACGCTCAAAACGATCACTTCATGATGTCGCTGCAGCTCGTGGCTACCGTGGCTACCGTTTTTGTGTGGACAAAAAGCCTGAACACGAAGCTACGACGAAGTGCAGTGACCAATGGGGTGTTTGTTCCTGAACTGTTCAATGAAACTATTGACATATTTGTGACATTTATTGATGTTTATAAAAGTGTGATCCTGAAGCGAATTGTGCAAATGTGACATGACATTCGCGTTGAACTTCGTGATCTCCTTGACTGTCAGCACAGGTATTTAGGTGTGATGGACCAATGATTCAGGATTGTTAATGTTGTTTATCTCACTTATCAGTTATCACGCTATCCATGCTACGTGTAGTGCTTGCGGCTTGCTAGCATTCCATGCAACATGTAAATACCTACATTAAAAAGCTGTTTATGTAAATATATTTGCGAGCCTGCACAGAATAAGCACCTCTAAAATATACACCCCTATGTGATGTGAAATGTTATTTGTTGTTTCTCACAAATCTAGTCTCTCCAAATGAGTTTGTATAGCTATTCATCGCTGTTCATAATCGCTCATCACCAATCAATAATTACTTATACAAGAAATGCTTTTAAAATGCGGTTGAGTGGTATGATGGGAGTAATGTAACATTGTATTTTAAATAGGCTGCCTGCGACACAAACTGGCAGAATGTTGAATGTCAAACCTGTTGAACAAGCGTCCCTACAAATTGGAGTGGAAGCTGATGATAAACGACAAACCAGATTACGACACGAGACATGTTTGCCTAACATGACTACCTAGCGACTACCATGCCTGATGTTCTGAATGCGACCAGCTACAGCCGGCTGAGGTCCCCATACAAAACACCTATAGGAGCTAAATGAGGACATTGGTAGATCACTTTTCTTTCATCAACGGTGATTTGTCTCATAAAGCGAACATTGTTTATGCATGTGCAACTAATAGAGCGATCATCCTTCATCAAGTTCGTGCCGGACGATCGAGCCGAGCGGACGTGCGCCAATTTTGTCTCGTGAAGACTTGGGTGTGGTCGGTGTGGTGATTTAGTGGTAGGCCGAGGATATTATAGGATTAAAATAGTTTTTTTTTTGTCTCAAGGCTATTATAATTGTTAACGTAACCTTTGACTAGAGTTTAGACTTCTCACTTTCAAACCATTACTTGTTTGCAGTTCAGCATAAAGTAAAGTAGCATCTGCGCATAGAGGTGCCATGGAGGAAGGGGATGTTAAGAGACTTATTCAGGAAGCTGTTAAGGAGGTGACTAGTGAGATGGAGGGAGAGATGAAAAAAATCTGGGAGGAAAACAAAAAAGTGAAAGAGGAGATACAAAAACTGAAGGATGAAAACCAGACACTGAAAAAGACCCTAGCAGAACTTGACCAGGCCTTAGATGATGTGGAACAGTACAGCCGCAAGGATTCCCTGATCTTGGGAGGTGGAGGCTTTCCGCAAGCCAAAGCTGACCACTATGAGACTCCTTCTGAGACTCGTCAGCTGACCAAAGCCGTGATCGAGGAAAAACTAGGAGTAAAGCTGAAGGGACAGATATCTGCTTGCCATCGCTTAAAAAACAACAAACGTGTCATCATAAAATTCCAGGATCTGGATGACCGCAATGCGGTTTACGAATCCAAATTCAGTCACACACAGACAGCACAGGCAAGGATCACCATCCATGAAAACCTGACAGCCAAAAGATCAAAGCAGATCCAGCAGCTGGGTGATATGTGGGAGGCTGGCCAAATCTGCAACTATCATACCAAGAACGGCGTCATCATGGCACGCAAAACCAGAGACCAGAGATACATCCCCATCCGAGCCAACATGACCAAGGACGAAATCATCCAAGCTGTGGAACAGGCCCCAAAAAGAAACAACACCCCACAGTCATCCAACCAAAACTTCCTTCGCTCCCAGACCCTGAACAACATCCCATCAGGACGAGTTGCTGAGCAGAGGGCTGACCTTGAGGAGTTTGTGGTCACTCGGAACAGGAGAGGTGGCAGGGGTGGGCGTGGTGGACCTGGACAGAGGGGCTCTGTTTAAACCACTGATGATCTTTGAAGGACTGGCACTGATTAAAAAAAAATATCTTAGTTAACTAGCCAGCACTTGTGCTATCACTACATCTGCTCAATGTCACTTGACAGGGAATCTCTTTCAGCTGTGCCAAACCTATTCGCAACTTTGGTAAACATCATTGGAGGAAGAACTTTGGCTTAGCATATAAACAAACAATGCAATGGTTTTTCATAAATGTCCCTGGACATGCTCCCGCTCACACTGCCAGTGTGCTATTGGTGTGGCGTGGGAGCATGTGAGTGAGTGTGAGTGTGAATGAGTGAGTGAGGCTGCACGTCTGCCTGATGCAGTTAGTGCAAACAAGCCCAAACTCTACAACATAGAGCTTTTAACACAGAGCATCAGGGACATGTAAATAAATTTGAGTGCAACCACTCCTGAGCACATTGAAAATTATGGAGTTTCCACAGCAAAGACTTGCTATGGCAATAAAACAAAGTTCTGCCAAGGAGCAGACTGAGACCTGGAAAACAGGCTGAAGGACATTCCAGTTATTACCCTCCAATGTTGGTTTATCTTAGTGGCAACTGAATAAATATGTTGAGACTAACACTACAATGTTGCTCAACAGTAAGCACAGAGCAATTCCCCTGACTGAGCGATACAAGTTTTAGCTGAGTGCTGGTATAAAAGAGTATTGTAAATAGAAGCCTATAGTTTTGCTTTTGAAATAGCTTTTCCTTCTATGATCATTCAGGTGAAATTGATGAGCTATGCCAGGGACCTGCCTGCTTCTCTTACCTCAGGATGTTCTTTAAAAATAAAAACAGGCTATCCTCTGCTCACCAGCATGTCTCAAATCATCAGCCCCCCCCCCCCCACACACACACTGACCTACCTTAAGTCCCTTGTCCTTGCTAATGTTTAAACGTGTCTCAGCCTCCTCTGGTGAATGTTTGCAATATCATATGCATGGCCATTTTGTGGCTGATTTCATTTTGATTTGAATCAACCGAACACATGTCACCTTAATGCAGACATAAACTTTCACCCAATGAATTAGCCTCAAACAAGTTTGAAACATTGAAATTAATATAAAACACATTTAATAACATAGTAAGGTATTGGTATTACCTTTCTTCTATCATCCCCTGCCAGCCACTGGCAAGGCCCTATATACCAGGTAGGGTCGTCCGGCGATTCTACCTTTTCGTGACGTCAGCTCGTGACGTCATTTGGAGTCAAGTCTCGAAGCCCCGTTCAATCCCCATGTAAATGAGCGATTTTCGAAGCACTGTAGAATAAAGTCTGCACAAGATATATCAAACCTAAGTATCTTATCTGAAAGAGCAGACAATTTTCTGCAAGTTATCTATTACGTGTTTTTCGCTAAATCTTTTGCTTTTTTCACAAAAACGTAAAATGTCCCCCCATGTCTCCGCAGCCTCCCTGCCGCCGGCCGCCGGGCGGTCGCGGTAGTGTAGTGGTTAGCGTGCCCGCGCAGTATTCCAAAGGTCCCGAGTTCGAATCTATGCGGTGCGGAACTTTAATTGCAATTCCAAGCTGAATATACGCACATCCGTAATAAATTATTATTCGTATAGCTAAACTGTCACCAAGCTATCCATATAAATTGACTTCACCCAAAATATCGGCGAGATTCTATTAAAATATAAATTCAAATATGGCGGCTTGGACTGCCGCGTGCGTTAGGCTCCGCCCATAGCTCCGCCCACATGCGTGACGTCATTCGTGTTAGTGGACACGCAGAGAGATAGGGGACGGCATGGGCCTGACCACTGGTACCTACACAGCCCCACATTACAATTTACACACGAGACCTTGGCTGGTACTACAAAACACGTGCTTCCCTAATTTACATATTCCTTATGAATGGGTAAGGTAAAACCACAGGGGAGCAATGCCGCTTCAACCCTATTGGCCGTAGTGTCTAACGGTGGCGGCAGGGGCGGCGCCACGGGTTTTCGATAGGGGGGGACGGGGACCGAAAATCGAAAATCCCAAAAGTAGATACTGATCGTGTATGCAAAAAAAAAAACGAGGCACGTAACGCCGCGAAGCTTGGCAAGGCCCAAAACACATCGAATGGTGCATCCCGTTTCCAAACTTATCCTAGGACACCTAAGATCGATCACCTTTTCAAGCATCCTTGCCTCTAAATCAAAATTTGCAGTCTTGCCAACTCAAAGCTGGTTTCCTACAAGCTGCGAATTGCTTAGGTATGAGTAGCAGTGCCAGCTATTCTTACGTTTCGTACTTTCAAATTTTCGATCTTACGTCTGGTCAGCTTCAGGGCTTCACCATCATATAGTCATGGAGGAAAAGTGGGAATGTCTTCTGCTCTGATAAGTGCGCCAAAACTGCAATATAATTTCAGAATCATGACATCACCACCTGATCCATATGCAACGGGCAGGGTGCAGCTAATGGCTAGCCGTCAGTGGTCATGTCATCGGTGGTCATTCAAAAGGTCATGCTAGGTCACGGAAGGTCACCAGCCGTTATTTGATCACACTTTCTGATGGATTTTACTTGCCAAGAGCTTCGCGGGAAAAACGAGCGCATGCACCGTTGAAAAAATTGAGTGAAAGGGTCTCAGGTCCGGTGACCTCTGCAGGTGAAATGCCCCAGGGTAGAATTCCGGTGCTTGTTGATTAACTTCGTCAAAAATGGCAGTAGAGCTGTGATGTCGGCACCATTGTGTTCGTCATGATCGAGCTGGCACGACCTGCATCGTTCTCATATTCACTCTCCAATCGTAACAACTACAGCAGGGATTGGCAAATGGCGGGGCACCCCCTTTGGGAGGTAATGAAGGTCTCTGGAAACCTCATCCCACATCTCTTTAGCATTAGTGGCTCTCCTTATGGAACAGGTTTCTTGACTGGTCTGTTTCACCCCAGAATTCAAAGACTAGTCAAGGTAAAACCGAGCGCACCATCAGTGAGCACAATTTGATAAGCTGGTGTATCTCAATTTTCATGTAGAACCTTTCACGTATCACGGACCTAAAACCCTTTCGTGCACTCGTGCAAAAGCAACTGCCATGTTTCAACAGCTGGTAATGGCATTTTCACAGCCGCTGACGTAAGAAGGGAAGGGATGGGGTTAGACCCCCAGCCGTTCGGCCGCCGACCGAACTTAGTTTTGCAGAAAAAAAAAACGAGTGCTATCGAACCCCTTGACGAGAGGGAGCCGATGCTATATCCAATTATAAGGTCTTGGGCTACTGCGTGCTTTTTTGGTCCTGCCTGTGATCTATCCGAACACTTCTCCCCACATTCCACAAGTGCTGGGGTTAAATGGCATAGATTTCAAATGGTTCCTGTGGTAGAACTGCCATGCTTGAATTTGACTAATTAGGAATGGAAAATTTTCATATAGTAACGGAAATCTATGGAATTTCAGTGAACTTGGTTTTATCGGCAATGGGGTCTGGCAGTGGGGTGGGGAGGTAATAAGTAATAACCCTGCCTGGCGCCCCAAAAAGGGGGCACGATCCCCGAGGCCCTGCGGCTGCCGATCACCTTATAACTACAGGCATCACAGCTCCACACCTTTTGCAGATGGCCAGGACCCCCTGCGATGCATCCCAACAGCAATCTTTATTCAGAACCTGCCTTGATTAACCAACGATGCATTACATGCGACGGATAGCTCTATAATGCATTATTATCAACTATTGAACGGGCCTCGCCGATAGGGGGGTACTGTACCCCCTAACTTTCGATAGCGGGGGACCTGTCCCCCCCGTCCCCCCCGGTGGCGCCGCCCATGGGTGGCGGCCATATTGCGCAGACCAGAAACCGGCTGCCGCTTGTGTTGAGGAATAGGGAATTCGGGACCTCGATTTACGTTTGCGGCCGCCGTATCCGTTACGTTCAAGTTACGTAGATACGGAACCCGGCATCT